ACTGGTAACAATTTACAATCCGGTCCCATTTGTTAACATCACTAAGTTAATTAACTAACATTAACTAACAATGTTTAAAAATAAAAGTACAACTGTTCATTGTTGGTTCATACTAGATCAGGTCCAATAACTAATATGAAAACAAACAACTTTTAATTTTAATAATGTATTCGTAAATGCTGACATTAATATTATTAATTAAGATTCATATGTTTTTATAAGTATTTTTCACTGTTAGTTCATGTTAACTAATGTAAACGTATTCCAAAGTGTTACTAAAAACAGCAAAAACTAATAAAAATGACAAAAGCACAAAACAAATTTGCCATAAATTGACCTGCAAATATAAAAATAAAAGTAAATTTCTAAATTATTAATAAAAACTATAATAAAATAACATTAAAATAAAACGATTTGCATGCATGTTTATAATGAGCATTTTAATTAATGATTTTTTTTTCTTTCTTCTGGTTCATTCGCCACACTGGAAATAGAAGATGCAGTTGAGCACATTGCATTGTAGGATACAGTATTACACGAGCGCGCTCTGTTGTACTGTACATTACGCAGATCATTAAGATTCAGCGCACACACACACACACACTTTTGTGATTTGCTTCATGTCCTCAGGCAGGGAGTTTTCTGCGTTCAGATGTTTGTGGGATGATGTCAGTATAACAACAGAATAACTGTACTATATCAGAAAGAAACAACATACCACATACAATTCACAATGCTAACTAATTCATACACATGAAGTAAACTGCAATATTTTACAGTTATAAGCCATTATTCAGTCTCTCTCTCTCACACACACACGCGCGCTTTCCTGGAATTGTCTGGTTTTCTCCAGACACATTTTCCAGATCTGCTCTGACTCATCCACTTGTAATCATCTTGTGTGTGAGTGTCCAGTGAGAGCTCACATGGGACTCTGAGCCCCAGGGCATGCTGGGAAAGAACAAATGATGATCGGGTGGGGCCAAAGTAAGTAGAGTAGCAAGTGTGTGTGTGTTTCTCTCTCAAGGAAACAAACACACACACACACCCAGGAGACAGAGTGCACATGTGTCGTACAAACACACTTCAGCGCTCTGCTGGAAGGGAAATCCTACCCATCGTCTAAAGGGGGTTAGTACACTAATGGAAATGACTCCTAATTCACTTCCCACAAGCCTCTGGTTTTACCTGGGTATGTTTTGACATGATTCATTTTGTTGAAGTCTTCTGAGATGAGGAACTCCTGTGTAAGACAGAAACAAAGAACATTAGAGAAAAATGACACAATGGCTTAGTTGATCCACTTACTCACCCTCATGTGGCCACAAACTCAGATGACTTTCATCTTTTCACGAAACACAAAATGAGACAGTGTTCAGAGTCCTCTTCTCTATACACTGATCTGGCGCTCAAGACCCAAAAAGGACAACAACAAAAAATCACCATTTATGCACTATATTTCAAGTCTTCTGCTGAGTACTTTTATGGTGCTTTTTGTCTGCAATGCCTATATAAACTACAGTTCAAAATTTAGGGTTGGTATGATTTTTATTTAAAGAAATTAATACTTTTATTCAGCAAGGATGGATTAAATTAATCAAAAGTGACAGTAAAGAACTTTCTAGTCATCAAATAATCTTGAAAAAATGAATCATGGTTTCAGAAATGTTTCTTGAGCAGCAAATCAGTCTATTAGAATGATTTCTGAAGATCATGTGACATTAAAGACTGGAGTAATGATGCTGAAAAGTCAGCTTTGATCACAGGAATAAATGACATTTTACAACTAATTCACATAGAAAACACCCATTCTAAATCGTAAAAATATTTCACAATATTCTAGATTTGTCTGTATTTTTGATAATAAAAACATGCATGTAAAAAGAGCAGCGTGAACATTCTGCTAAGCATCTCATTTTGTGCTCCACAGAAAAAACGTTGGGAATCACACGATGGCGAGTTTGATATATACACACACGTACTATTTACATATACATATTTATACATATATGCACAGCTGCCCTGACTTACAAGCCTATGAAAAGACAAGAGACATAGGCTACGTTCACACTTGCGAACCTTAGAGCTCAATTCCGATTTTTTTTCTCAGATCCGATTTTTTGGTGTAGCCGTTCACATTGTTGTTTTAAATGTGGCCAATATCAGTTTTACAGTGTGAACAGATCATGGTTCTGAACTGACCCGCATGCGCAAAAGAACAATACGAACAGGGTTTCCAGGTTTTCACAACAAAATCCGCCCAACTGCTTCTCAAAACTAGCACAACCATGTTCAGGGGGATAAATATCGCATTAGTGGGGTCGCGTCGACCCATGAAGTTGAAAGACATCCCACGGCAACAGTGGAAAAGTAGCCTAATTCCGCAGGGAAACTGTGGATTTGGCAACACTTGCGCAGCACGCTGTCATACGGAAGTAAACACAGAGGATATATAGTAAGCGATTATGTGTTTATTTATAGTGTGATCTGCTGCTGAATCCGGCGAAATTATGTGCAGGCAATATGAAAAATAAAGACAAGGATGTGACAAAAGACAGCAGAGTTTTGAAGCTTTTATGATACCAGCCCTCTGCGGACGCGTTGCAAAACGTCTGACATAGATCGGATTTAGTACCACATATGGAAGTGGCACAAATCGGAATTGAAAAGATCAGATTCCATGCGGTTTGTGCTGTTCACACTGTCATGACAAAAAACAGATCCAAGTCACGTGTGAGCAAAAAAAATTGGATTTGGGCCACATTTGCCTGCAGTGTGAACGTAGCCATAGAGACAAAACATTAGAGATCTGAAAACACTTTAGCCCTTAGGGGGGTGATACAGTGACACTCACCACAACAGCCCCGTTGTCCTGGCCTATGAAGATCCGCCTGCTCTCATGGTGATATGATATACAGGAACACGGAGCTGGACACAAACAGAAAGACTTGACCTACTTCATCACCGATTTCTGCTGCTTACAGGTGAAGTGTGATCTGTGCTACTAATGGCACCGAAAATAAACATCTGTGTCTGACTAGTGCTGTTACTGTTAACAAAAAACTAAAACTAAAATCAATGAACAAAAAATCTATTGAAATAAAGCTAAAATAAAATATTACATGAAAAACGTTAATGAAAACGTTGCCTTTTTAACTAATAACTAAATTATTTTTCTTTAATTGAAATAATGCTCAAATAAAATAATAAACTGTAATGAAATAAAGCTAACATAAAAATAACAAATATTAGATGAAAAATAAATTTAAACCAAAAAAAATATTACATGCAAAAAATTTAAAATAAATACTATTAAATAAATAACAGTTTCCGAACAATTTTTCTCCAACACTCCTAATTTTCTCAATTTATTTCTCTCAAACACAGCTCCAGCTGGAATCTGACATGACACGCTGCTCAAACAAAAAGAGCAATGGCATATTAAAAAGGTGCACACTTACTGCTGATACTGGGGAATATATGCGAGATATGAAGATGTGATATGGTTGCTATGGTAACAGAGTTACCATAGCGAACACTCCACTGCACGTGAACAATGAGAATGAATTATTTTTAATTTGTTAATTTACTTGCAACTTGACGTTCACTGTGTCATTCACGTCAAACCTAGTCTTATATATATATATATATAAAAATTTAAATGTAAAATATTATTTGTAATATATAGAATTTAATATAATATAATAACATATATTAACAATATAAAAATAATGTTTTATAAAAAATACAATAAAAAGAAATTAATAATTAATATAATATAAAAAACTAACAAAAACTACCCTCTGAAGTGTTATAGTCATCCACAGAAACACACGTGTCCCCAGAGGTTTTTTTTTTATTAAATGTAAAATATGATATATATATATATATACGAGTAAAAAATAATAACTAACATAACCCTCTGAAGTGTGAAGGTCATGCACAGAAACACACACGTGTTCCAAGAGCAGCTGAAATCTCAGTTCCTGCTAAAATCTCAAGCGTATCTCATTTAGCAAAGTTTGTGCATCTGCTCTCATGTGCCAAACATGTAATCAGCACAAATGCACTTCCACTGGTTTTGTCTTGCCCAGAGCCGTTAAAAACACCTCTGCTCTTGCCAAAACCAGAATGTTTCAAATGCAAACTACATTCAGATACCAAAAAAATCCCATCCCCTAGAAGCCAAGCCTGTCCATTTACATGCACTAACTATATGAATCATCCTGATACAAATAAGATCTGATCTTTAAACTGCTCTGAAATGAAACTCTGTTCTTTTAGATCTGCTTCTCAAGCTAACTGAACTCTCGCTAATCTTTAAGCTGCACTTAATGGCTGTCTGGAAACACAGGCTGTCTGAGTTCGATTCTTCTGTTTAGCATTTCAAAAGATGTTTAAATCCCGTCTTAAAAGGACGTCATTCTTTTGAAACATTAAGAAATGCATGGCGACATCGGACGTGACTTCAAGCCTTGCTGAAACAAAGTAAACACTTATCTGTTCATCCTGAGAAGAACTTAACCAACATCCCTGCTGGAAAAAAAACGGCTTAAACCAGCCTAAGGTGCTTTGCTGGACTTTTAAGCTGGTCTCCCAGCTGACAAATGTCCAAAACTGCTCTAACACCATTAAAAAGACCGTGTAACCTCCTTAAGCTGGTTTAAGTTACATTCCCGAGCAGGTTTCCTCATAAAAAAAAAAACATGTGAGGAACAAAGAACTGCTCCAGATATCATCCAAAAAGACACAATACCTATGTAAACAAGAAAACATGTCCAGTTTACTATGGTAACTACCTTTTATGCCAAAATATACCATAGATACACTCTTAAAAATAAAGGTGCCATAGAAGAACCTTTTTGTCTAAATGGTTCCACAAAGAACCTTTAACATCTGAAGAACCTTTCTATTTCACAAAAGCTTCTTTGTGGCGAAATAAGGTTCTTCAGATTATAAAAACGCAAGAAAAAGATGGTTCTTTAAAGAACCTTTGACTGAATGGTTCTTTGTGGAACCAAAAATGGTTCTTCTATGGCATCGCTTGAAGAACCTTCTGAAGCACCTTTATTTTTTAAGAGTGTACTACAGTTTCTGTAATACATGAGAATCGGTCATTGAGATCTCCTTCAAATAGTGTAAATCAGACATTTGAAATGTATTTTTGATGATAACCTGGTTAATACCAAGCTACCACAACAATAACTACAATAATCCCTAATAGTAATAAATAATACATAGATAGCTCTGACAGCACACGTACATCACGGAGACGTCTATATTTACATCTGTAAGACGTTTTTTTTTTTTAGAGTGTTTGCTCATCTGCAATACGTCTATGGGACGTTTCCTATCAGATGTCAAATAGACGTTTAGAAGATGTCTTTAAGATTTAAAATGTATGTAAAACTGACATCTTAGAGACGTCTACCAGATGTTTGTACACAGCAGATGCTTTCCAGATGAAGCGATCTTCAACAGACATCTTGCAGACGTACCTGTGTGCTATTTGGGTAGCATTTTGGCCTGTAAACTTGCACATGTACGTCTGTTAAAGATCTCTTGATCTGGAAAGCATCTGCCGTGTACAAACATCTGACAGAGACGTCTTTAAGATGTCAGTTTTACATTCATTCTAAATCATAAACATCTTAAAGACATCTTCTAAACGTCTACTTGACATCTGATAGGAAACATCCTATAGACGCATTGCAGATGAGCAAACCCTGATAACACACCTACATCTCGGAGACATCTATTCGACATCTGCAAGATGTATTTTTTAGAGCGTTTGCTCATCTGCAATACGTCTATAGGACGTTTCCTTTTAGATGTCACATAGACGTCTGTTAGATGTCTTTAAGAGGTTTATGATTTAGAATGCATGTAAAACTGACATCTTAAATACGTCTGTCAGATGTTTGCGCACAGCAGATGCTTTCCAGATCTTTAACAGACATCTTGCAGACGCATGTGTGCTATCTGGGAAACACTCTTAAAAAAAATACCTCTTGCAGATGTCAAATAGACGTCTCCGTGACGTACGTGTGCTTTCTACGTGACTAATGGAAATTACGATTAATACGGTAATTCACAAGAATTCACGTTTACATCTAAAACCAAAACAACAGTAAAGTTTGTCACATTCAAGTGCTTCACTAAAAAACACAGTAGTATGATGTTTTGGACTTGCACTATGGAAGCACCCTATGTAAACATGGTAATCTTTTAGTACTGTCGGATATCGTAATACCATGTATCGTAAAGTAATAATGTAATAATGCACGTTCCTTAAGAAATAAACAGCTGAATTAAGCAAGCAAGCAAGCGTTGATTTGAGTGTTCAGAGAGCGTTAATGGTCATGATGATGTTGTCTTGTGTCCACCGGTTGTCCGGCGCGGGTGTACCTGTCCTCGCTGACCGTGATAACTCCATCCTGGGATATCGTAATACCATGTATCGTAAAGTAATAATGTAATAATGCACGTTCCTTAAGAAATAAACAGCTGAATTAATTAAGCAAGCAAGCAAGCGTTGATTTGAGTGTTCAGAGAGCGTTAATGATCATGATGATGTTGTCTTGTGTCCACCGGTTGTCCGGCGCGGGTGTACCTGTCCTCGCTGACCGTGATAACTCCATCCTCCTTCGGGATCAGCACGGCCGCATTCACGCCGTCGCTGTGGCCCTCGATCTTGTTCAGCAGGACGGGTCTGGAGCTCTGAGGCCTGGAATGGATCTCCGCCGCCATCGCTGCTTTCCCCTTGATACCTTGCGCGCGATGATTCCTCCTCTCGAGTCAGCTGAGCGCTCGGGAAGTTCACCCACAACAGCGCGAGCTGCCGTAACGCTCCGAGAGACCGCGCGCGTGAAAAACACACACACACTGCGGAACGGCCGCGGTTTACTTCTGCGACCAAACTACGCTGTGTAATTTTAATAGTGCGTAGAATAAATTCTAGAATATTGTACATGGATATTTTAATATATAATTTGCTTAGAATAATTATTAATAAGTATTCGTATTAATATCACAACATTTTATCAACATTGTGCATTACATGAATGTTGTTGTTTTTATTATATGTGAATATATTTAAGTATAAATATAACATAGTATAAATGCAATATAATATAAATAAAACAAATATTATAGTAAAAATATTTTTGCATCCTATATATATATATATATAAATTATTTTAAATATATTTTTGGATTTATAGTAATTGCCTTTTATAATCTTTAGTATTCATAATATGTTTCAACGTCTATCACATATTTTATCAACAATTATTTTTTTATTATTCTTAGATAATTCTACGTAATTGGACATATAAATAACCTAGCATTAGTATAAATGTGTGTGTACATATATAGTACAAATATATATTTTTATTTGTTATGAATTTATTTGTCATTAACCTTTTTATCACGTTTAACTTTGCGTTTGCATTGTGAATGAAATGTGCTATATAAGTAAACTTGCCTTGCAAGTATTAA